GGTGACGCATGACGAGCCATGGACGGTTAGTTTAGAGCCTCCATCGGAGGCCGAGTTCCAAAACGCAATCACAGCCCTCAATCGTTTTCGTGCTGCTCCCCCAAATTCCCTCCCACCTGCACTATTTGAGGATAGAGGTGAGGTCATCTGCAACGCACTGACCTCCCTATTCAATTGTACCTGGAAGGAAGAGAGTGTCCCGGTTAATTGAACTGAATCGATTATAGTGGCAATATACAAGAAGGGCAGTCGTACAGACTGTTCTTACCACAAGAGTAATAGCCGAACGCCAGTTGTGACAAAAATAATTGGCCTCGCTTCTCGTTCGTCGCGGCACTGCGGAACGGGAATCTCGGATAACGGAAGAGCAGGCAGGTTTCCGCCCAGGACGTGGCTGTATAGACCATATATTCACTTTGCGGCAGGTGCTAGAGCGGCGCCACCATAATGTAGACCGTCAATAGCTGTTTTCCTCGATTTCAAGAGTGCGTTTGATTTAGTCGATCTATGGATTCTACTAGAAATACTTGTTTGGAAGTGTGTTCCAACAAAATATGTGAACATCCTTCGTGCTCTGTACTCGAACACTACAGACCGCGTCAGGGTCTATGGTGGCCTATCGGATAGCTTTCCGACCACAGGCGGCGTTCGTCAGGGCTGTCCGATTTCCCCATTTTTGTTCAATTTAGTCGTAGATTATATCACCAAGCGTTCCTTTTCAGAATCTCACGATGTAGGTGTTAAAGTGCATCCTGGTGAAAGATTAATCCATCTAGATTATGCGGACGATATCATACTGCTTCTCGACGATGTTAGGGCGGCACAATCAACCCTGAATAGCCTGTCCAGAGTGGTCCCATTATTTGGTATGCACTTTGCACCTTCAAAGTGCAAAGTGTTGCTGCAGGACCACCAGCCACTCGATGACCCCTTGACGCTTGCTAACGAGGAACTCGAGGTGGTTGATCAATTCACTTATCTTTGCAGCTGCGTCGGCAATGATGGGCGCATAGAAACTGAAGTCAGCTCACGTATTGCAAAAGCCAGAGCTACCTTCTTGAAGCTGCGAACTCTTTGGCGACAGAAGGGATTTTCTCTCTGTCTGAAAGACAGGGTTTAGAAGGCCACAACGGAGGCGGTTCTGCTCCATGGTATTGAGAATTGGCCCCTTCGGTCTGAAGGTCTAAAGCGCCTTCAAGTTTTTGATCATCGTTGTCTGCGAGGCCTTGCTGGAGTAGGATGGCCCGAGCGTGTCCGCAATGATGATGTGTGTAGGCGAGTACTAGGTGGTGATAATCATGCTAGCTTCCTAGAACAACAGATAGCACTTAATAAGTTGCGTTGGCTCGGGCACGTGCTACGTATGCCTGGTCACCACTAACCTGGGAGGGCCTTGTTTAATCTGCCAGGTGTAGGGTGGCGTAAGGCTCGAGGTGGACAAAAGTTGACTTGACAGGGGGAAATGAAGTCACTGACAGTCAAACTGGGTGCCGTTGGTCCGTCTCGCCTCCCGGGCTGGACTCCACGTGACTCGCCTTGTGTTTGGCTCGAGACTTTACAGGATATGGCTCGCAGTAGACACCAGGGGCGCATCTGCTCCCGTCTCCTAATCAGAGTACCTGTTTAAAGTGTGCTTGATGCTGAGTTATCTGCGGAGTAATGGCTGATTATGACGCATGGCAGTAAAAGCCGCAAGGAAGCTGTCTCGCGGATGCCGCCTTATCTTTGCACGTTAGCCAGCTTTTTGTGATGGTATGTTGTCTACACAAAGTGTAGGCGCCTTGACCCTGAATGTTTGTTTATGGCATTAAGGTTTTCAAGTAAGTCCTTCTTTTCTACCTTTTTTGCTTTTTTATTTCATAGGTCCTCATGAATGTATGGCAGTGAAACGTCAGTTCAAATGGCTGATGTACTGCTGTTGATGATGATGATGATTTGTTGCCGGATATATCGACCAAAAATTAGTTAAACCTATTGATACCCGTTGTTCTTTGATGTGTAGGAGCAACTAGGGTGAACCTGTTGAATAATCAGCGTATACCGCCAGAAGAAAACCGGTATCCGAGACCTGTTTCAAAAACAGTTGATCACTTCATTTAGAGCTACTGGAAACTAACCTGCTTTTGGTGCAGAAACCGAGGTTAATAATACGTTTTCTCGATATCAAATTCTGCATTCCTTAAGTCCATCGGAATTCGTCATTTACGAAAAAGCACCGTAGGTTTGTCATTTATCGATGCAATAAGAATTCCACGTGATTGAGTTGGTAGACAATGATTTGTTTGTGAGGCTAAAATGGATGATGACCTTCTAACGCAAAGCAATCATAATCCAACTATTCCCGAACCAAAACTTTATACTAACATGTTACTTTCAATGCCCTGTGATGAATTGAGTTCTCTGTCACTTGCAAGTATCAATCTACAGCAATTCATCTTTTAACAGACAGCTGTGCGGAAATATGACTTCTTGGGTTCTTGGTTATTTAAGTTAGGTAGTGCTCTGCTTGTGATGCATAAAAGTGTAATATCTTCCCAACGCAAACCACCTAGAAGATTTTCATTCAGAATGTATCACTTGAAATGTCACTTTTACCGATTACAATTTTAAGCCCCGACACATATTTCTAGTTTGTAGTAACTTCTACGCCAAATGACTACGGGTTCAGTAGTTTAACAGATCTTCGCAATCGAAAGCAGATCGTTGCTCATAAATATACTAACGGATTACTTTCAAATGCGTTTTCGGTCAGTTCCAAGCATATTCAAAGATATTCACCACGTGTGAAGTGTTCTTCTTCGTTAAGGGCTATGGAGTTTAGTCAGCACGATCTATGTGTAAAATAAACATTTCCTTCAGTCTGGCAGCTTGCATTGGCATTATGTGGCATGGGATGTGGTATGAAATTTGGTCTCTGTACGCCCATTTGCTGCTGTTCATATTCTGGGGATAATTGCAAGATCTATCTAGTATGCTTCGACTGAGCTTATGACTTCTCCATTTTCGGTGACTGTGCCACGTTGAGTAATTCAAACAAACCAATTTCACTCGACAGTTTTTGTTGAATTTCCAAACTATGGCATTCAGCTTTTTGTGTACTGTTCGTTTTTTATGAAAAATGCATGCACAATACCCACCGTTATTTTCTTTCACTTCCCAATCAGCGACAGTAAGTTTCACCGTTGTTGTCAAGTCGCTAACTGTTGTGAAATCTAGGGGCATTGAGACTTGTGTATTTTGTGGCTGTGTAGTTTAACCCATGGCCCTAGTTCACTGCCAGCAGTGCGATGGTAATTGTTATCGGAATTTCGACGCAGCGCTTCGTTGCATCGCTAAGCCCCATACTAATGTGTAGATCGCCACTGAGACTTTGCTGGTTAAGCGTATACCAGTTGAGCTAGTGTGACTTCTAGGCGAACGACCATGGTCGAAATCCAGCGCACTCTGGACAACTAGTACATTCTCATGACTTAAAATACCTAACACTCACCTCTGCGGGGTCAGATATGGAAAATTCGCCGTCACGATGAGGGTTGAAATATGTGCAGATATATGACTTAGCGTTCCTGTAATGAACTCCAATTGCGGTGCAATCGTCCGCCTGAGGCTGCCGCTGTAAATGGCCGACTAATGGTGGCATTTGAGCGTATTCACCCAAAAGATATCTAGAAGATGAAGAATGGCAGACATCCGGAATCTGATAAGCGCCATTAATTGGATGGTCGATTATTTGAATAGATTGGTTGCAAAAAACAAATCTTTAGTTGGTAGCTACTAACAAACGTCGATAAACACTTTCTTACAAATGGCGTTGCCATGGTCGTGACAAACAACAGGATTTTTTGTCCTGATAGCCCAGTGTTTCCAGCTACTCTCGTAAGCTACACTTGACGAGAATGAAACGTTCGGTAGTTGCCAACTGAAAATGACTTGTAGGGATAATCTGAAACTGAAACCGCTAGCCCTGTTTTGCTTAAGGAAACATTCACCCCGAAGGTGCTGTATCCGTCTAACACGCTGGAAACTTTTCGTCACTTCTGAACAATTTTTATTTCTATCCCCTAAATGACATTCTGTATCACAATTGAGGAAGATGCTGGGATGCAGTCTTAGCTGATAACCTGGTCAAGTCATTATCTAAAGCCAACGAAGTAATATCTAGCTAAATAGTTTTATTTAGTGATTGACCGCAGTTGATTCAGATACCAGTACAATCTCACTTTTATCCAAGATAGTACAACGGTCCTCCAAATATGCACTGAAAATTTAAATGCTCAAATGCCTTCGATTAAATGTAAAGAGCTCAAACTTAATGGACACCAAAGTTGGGTAAGCAAACATTTGGTTGGCGTTCGCAAAAACTATGCATCCGGTGGTTAGCTCAGTCCAGGGTAACTGATAGTCCATTTACTCCTGATGATGAGGCAGGTACAGTTTGTTTCTGATCCGCCTTACGAAAGGAGGAGCTAGAATATTGGCCTTAGTGTATGAATTATCTCATTGACCCGAAAACACCTGTTATCACCTTGCAAGGCAGAGAATGTGGGTACACTCACAACTGAAACCGATCTAAGTACGACTCGAAATATAGTCATATAATGATGGGGCGGCTAGGTAATGCTCAATTGGAGTAAACATCCGTTTGATCGAAACCAGTATGGACATAAGCAGCCAAATATTTACAACTTACACAAATTCCCCTATGCTTATAGCTTGGGATCTGTTGAACTGCTGCTATTTGCGAACCCCTTAAGAGTTTGAGCTAACCATACGCTGTCCAAATACAGTGTTGCAATATGATGATGAACTATGAAGAAGAGTTTTCACGATGATGTAGTTGTATGTTGTGCAAACTGTGCAGTTACATCAAAGTTGTCTATAGTTGTAGACATGCATGCGATAAGCGTTTAATGTCATTTTCGAGATTGTCGTTGTACTGGTTAGGTTCCTGTTGGCCTGTTCTTATTGATTACTTTGTGTATACTTAATCCTCATTTCAGCTGATGCACTGAACGATGCTTGTATTCACCGCCACCGTGAGCTTGAAGTGTGCGAAAATAAGACCAACCCGATGGAGGCTGATGTTTCAATCACTACGACTAATCCAGCATTCAACAACACGACGGAAATTTCACCGAACACACTCGGAGACTTCCCCAACGTATTGCCGGAGTTGGCTGCAACTACTCCACCATATGCGGGATACCCGTTTAGCGGATGGAACGGGATTTCTCGGCCGCAGTTGCATAGTCCTCCTGACGTGAGCATAAACCATATCACAAATGTTTTGGAGGGAGATACTGGCTTTTTAGACCTGTCCTACCCAACCCAACAGGAACCGGCCGCATACCCAGAACAAGGATTCGGGGAATTGAGTTCATATCAGGGTAACTATCCGTGGACTCAGCAACAGTACCAAGGTTTTGCCGATCGTCAGGCTGCTGAAAGAGATGGCGATAGACGTAACGTAAACGGTTGGTGGGCCAGGCCTCCACACCCATAATAATCAAGTAATAGTTGTATCTGACAATATCTGATACCCGCGTCTTTCAGCTTGAAATTTCCAGAAGATTTTGTAAACACCTCAGTCTCTGCTGTCGTAGGCATGAAACAAAACTGCACATTGCAATTTTCGGGGGCAGATAATTCTACGACGCAAATTTGTGATCTATATGAAACGTTGTTGAGGCGAATTGCTCCAATCAGTGCTTTCCTCTATGTCCCAGTGAAAAACATGCAAATACTCATTGATTGCTATTTTTATTTCTTCATATATGAGTAGCGTAGAAATGCTACCTTTTCTCATCTTATTTTAGAAAATCTGGTTTTGTAGTACTGCTGGTGTTTAGTCGTGTAACGTGGTGATGTATTCATAAACACCTTCGAATGGTCATCTGTATTCGACTAATCTTCATTGCTCTGTAATTTTAGTGTAGTCGAAATTGTTAACTCACTGATCTGTGGTCTGATCTGATCTACCAAATACAGATTTCTCTATTTTAATGCGACCGCAGAGCATCACCATATCCCACACTCTTTCCAGGTACATTCATCGGAATATCTTCTACCATCTGCTTCATAAAAGTTCACCTGATCGAATTCAGTCCGTCTACATAGAAATTCTCTTACAATGCGGCGATTCAAGCTGTTTCCAGTGTGATTTATGCAGCAGCGAGGACGAATTTTCCCCTTACTGAATAGCTTAATGAGCACATAAAACGCGTGCACGCAAAGTATGAGCTATGGAACTAGCTCAGTTATCTTACTTCATAGTTCGTGTAGTAAACCAGGATTACTCGAATACAGTAAGGAACACATGGTAAGATCGACTGAGATTGTTAATCAAATAGTCTGATCAGTAATTCAATGTGGATGGTTTAATCAGTGTTATGTTAAAAGAGCTGATGTGAAAGCTTCTTTGTTGGAAAAAGTATTAGTGTTGAAAAGACGGAAACCCGCTTTCTTTAACGTTGACTCCGATCTCCCAGCTAATATATTGCCGCTCTAGTTCATTTTTTCTTACGGAGGCTTGACCTCTGGGATACATCGGTAAACTTTCACCTCCAAACATGTATACAACGCTGGAGATAAAATATATGATTGGAGAAAATCACAAAAATACATTACACGGCTTTGCGTTCATCGTTCTGTTATCTGGGGTGTACAGATGACAAACTGATATTATGGGTTGTAGAAGGATAACTCGAAGGGTATAAAATACGGAAGCATGTACTGGTGGACATTTACTATTGATCATAATGTGAAATTGGCTTAACTTTCCAGATACCGTGGATTACCTATTTAGGATAAAGATATCAAATTGATATACGCTCAGAAACTTCTTCTAAATCTTCATGGACCCAAGTCGTTAGATGTGTCAATGGATCACAGTCGACAAAAAGTTGATTATTCGTAGAAAGCAGAAGTCACGATTAAACTGCACACAATAATCTGCCTCGACTGGGAATCGAACCCCTGTCCAACGAATTTTCGGTCCGCTGCTCTAACACTGAGCAACCGAGGGCTGACGATCAGGTGCGTAATTTAATACATGACTTCTGCTTGGTGCGCGATGTATTGCCAATGAGCTCACAGTACCTGTCCTGGTGTTTCAGATTGGTTCACTCACTCGTCACTTCCCAATGGACCATAGTATCTGTCCTTCTGAAGTCCAAAGGCGATGGTAGATTACGTGTGGATTTTTGTGAGAGGTATAATGTTCCTAGAAAGCAGAAGGCACGATTAATGGTGATTAGTATTAGCCGACTCTGTTGACCACGCCACTTTCCGTTACGCCTAATTTCAACTATTCTACACTACGTCGAGGAGACCATCAATTAAATACTGTAAAACGCGATCTCATGCACAAAATCCATTTAGGTAATTAGGTCACTGAACTCAAGCGCGCTGAAAATCACGAGGTTATGGCGCAATTGTTTAGCCTAGGTTGATTCTGTATGGCCAGCTTTTTCCCAAGCTCCACTTGACGTAGGCTGCCAAAGGTTCGCATGGTTAAACAAATTTATTCTCCGGATCGTTCTTTCATTTTGCTTGTCACGGGTCATCTTACACTGATACGCACGGGATATATGTCCATGTAGGATATAACACAGATAAATCAGTTGTGCTAGTTGAAACTTGGATGCCAACAACCGCGGGACTGCTTGCCGGTGAGTTTGCACGGGACTAACAGGAAAGCTTAGCAGAAATCTGGAAGGAGTTCAGGCTATCTTGACGAATCTAACCAACAGACCTGCTCGCAACAGAAAGATTCAGAAAATAAGCAGAATATGATCTTGCTCTACAGCAGCAGCTGAAAGCCAACTGACATGATATTTAGCTTTTTTCCAGGGCTGCTTGGATCAGAACCAATTTTCCGCTATATGGAAGCTTAGAATAATAAGCATGTTTCACAAATGTGGAAGCAGAACGGAGGCCCCAATTAACCGCCCGGTATCCCTTCGTCCTCTACTGTCCAAGGGCATGGCATGATAGTTACCGATGCACTGGCGCGTTATTTGGAAAACTGTAACACAATCGCGCCTGAGCAAGATAACTTCCGTATACAGCGGTCATGCACGACGAATTTACTTACCGCACGCATTAGTTGGACCGAGTCATCTGATACTATAGAAGGCGTTGCTGTGATGCACTTAGATATTTGAAGGCTTTTGATCTTCTGGACCATTAGATAATACTTCCCAAGCTCCAGTATTGCGGGATCCGGGGCACTGAACAATGAATAATGAATTTAAACGGATCAAGAAGCCTTGCTTTACAAGTCCCGTTGGATAGTTGTTTGGAATATGGAAAGAATAATCATAATGTTAAAAACAATATTAAAAGCTTTAGTACTTTAAATATGAAAACAAGGACATCATTTTCTCCGTCGGCCTGCAATCCGCTTAGATTTACGTCACCTGCTTTTCACATCAAATAACTCCGTGGTAAACGCTAGGTGTCGGATGGTGACGTAACGCTAAGTGATAAAGTGTAAGTGGATGAGTGCGCCATCCAATAGTCTTAAAATACTGTTAGTGTCAGTGCAGAAACAACTGATTCTGGAGCCGCATTCCAGGAGTGTCATACCCCATTCGCAAATACATTTCTGCGGCACTCCAGACGGATATCTTGTATAGCGAGTTTCAGTTAGCGATCCTCAGGATTCAGCGACCATTTTGAGGAAGATGCTATCGTTTCGCACCCATAGTTTCCCCGGAGTTGGCAACACTCCCCGAAAACACTGCAAGGGCAGTTACGACAATAGCTGAAACACTAAGGATATATTTTTCCCAAGATACTTTGACGAACTGCAGGTCCCTCATATCTGGAATTAAAGCATCATTACCCCGAGTTTCAAAAGTGGTAGCCATTCAAAGCCAGCCGACTATCCTCCAGTGAGTCACCTCCCGGTTCTAAGGTGATGGAATCGATCGTAGCTGAGGGAGTAATGGACTGCCTTGTAAGGTCTAACATCATAGCACCGGAGCAACACGGATTTCGTCAGTATCCGTCATGTACTACCAACCTACTGCTTACCAATGGCCATTAGTCCGAGATAGCCGACAGTAGGACCGGCATTTATATAATATTCCTTAGTATTTTTTAAATAATTCGACTGCATAGATCACGCATCTCTCTCTAAAAGCTGCAAGCATATGGAGTTGGAAACCCTGTACTTAACAAGGATCGGAAACTTCCCGTTTCAGTCGCGCCTTCAGCCTCGAGTTTTAGGTTCATTTTCTGGTCCAATTGGTGGGGACTTCGATGTTCCACAATGGTCGGTGTTGGAGCCACGGTTATTCTTGTTCTTCATTAACGACCTTGCGAATACCATCGGTTCAACTTTTCTGTTTTGCCCGATGACATCAAGCTATGAAAGGCGATCGAATGTCAAAAGAGCACAATATTTTGCAACGATATTTAGACTACGCTTTTAAATAGTCAAATTTAAATTTATTCCGTTTAAAACTGACAAGCGCAAAAGCGTACATATCTGCCACAAGCCCACTAATGCATATTTACTTAGAGACAACACGCTGGAGACGCATCACAAGATGGAGACATTGAGGAGTTGATCCAAGACGAACTGGGCTATTCGGCGCAGTCCCTGAAGGTGTCCAAAATTGCGAACCAACCTGTTTGTCTGTTACGGAGGGCGTTAGGATGTTGTGATACCTCCATTTTTCCCCAAAGGCTCAATGCTTATGTGGGGCCTCATGTAGAGTAAGCAATCCAAGCTAGGCAACCATGGTTAAAACGCGACCTGGTTGCACCGAAGACAGCGCAGCGACGGGTAACGAAATTTGTGAAGGGTTTGGCTTACCAGCAATGCCATAAGCGATTGAAAGCCCTGGGCGTGTACAGAGTAAGATGTCGCCTTCTGCGAGGTGACTGTCTTTCGTTCCAATTTGGAAACCCCCCAGGCACTCTTGCCGCCACCTCCTGAAGTTTGTCTACAACAAATTGAAACTTGCCATCTAATACAGTTGGCTTGCGTTCGGACCAACCAATAGGGCAACCACAGTATTATAAAGACGCACGCATACCACGCACAGCGCACTCCCACCAAGGCTCCTCTACGCTGCTCTTAGCTACTGTGTGCCACTCACTTATGCACTGATGACATCACCTTGATTGGAGAGGAAACATTTGCAACTAAATTGCCAAACTCTGCAAACAGTTCAATCACTATCTGACCAACCTGAGCTACCTGTCTACAATGCCATATACCTATGTGTTAGCGTGGATAATATAGTGAGTCCACAGATGGGTTTTTCACTTCCGTGTAACTTAAGTGACCTAAGTTTATTCCCACGAACCATCCCACAGGACTTGTCAAACCTTGGCCTTTTTATCCGCATTATGCCTTTCTTTCATGGTTACTTTGTTATATGGAATACCCCCAATTGTTGCAGTCTCTCCTAATATGAACGATTACGGTTGCCAATTAGCTTCTTAGATGCCCGATTTTGTGACTTCTCCAGTGCATTAAGTCCTATTTTAACCCTGGATGTCAGGCTTGAATTGTTATTTGGCATGAAGCAAACATACGCTCTGCGCATTTATCGAAATA